CCATTCATTTTTCCTTTTTAAAATTTGACTTTAACTGTGATTAAAAAATACGTAATAAAATTTTTTTCTCTTAACGTGTTTTTGAAATTTTCTGAATCAGGACTGGGATATAGCTCAGTCAGTAGAGTGCTTGCCCAACATGCACAAAAGCCTGGATTTGATCCCCAACATACCATATACCAAGCTTGGTAACTGGCCTGTAACTCCAGGACTGAGGAGGTAGAGGCAGGAAGATCAGAAGTTCAAGGTCATCCTGGCCTACATAAGGAACTCAAGGCCAATCCATACTCCTAAGAACCTGTCTCAAAAAATCCAAACAAAAAAACTTCGAATCAGAAAAAGAAAATTAGAAGGGAATAGTATAAAGAAAGTAAAAACTACCTACAAATCCAACACCCAGAAGACAGTCTCTAATATTCCTTCTATTTCCACTCATCTTCAACTACACTGAGATAACCAAACTGGCAACACAGAGTAGTTTATAACTTTGCTTCCAATATATTATTTTAGTCTCCTTCTAACATGGCTTTATGTAACAAAAGGCATAGTGATGCACATCCCAACAGAGGCAGGTGGATCTCTGTGAGATCGAGCTTACCCTGGCCTATATATCAAGTTCCAGGGTCAGACTGGGCTACATAGTAAGACCCTGCCTCAAAGAAAAAGAAAGAATAAATGTGTAACTTTAAGAAAAAAGAATCAAATACTGCTTTGGACAACTACTTTCCCCTTAAGCACACTGTTATATGATGTATAAAACCACTTACCTGGTTTTCCTCTTCAGACTGCAACAACTTCTGGTTTCTTGAAATTGCCAGCATTTCTATAAGTTCCCTAAAGAGAAACAACTGTCAGGGTACGGGTACAGTGGTGCAATCCTGTAATCTCAGCACTTGAGACAGAGAGGCAGGAGGTTTGGAGAGCTCAATGCCAACCTGGGCTACCTAAGTGAGATCTTTTATCCAAAATCAAAAACAACAACAACGACAAAAACAAGCCAACAAGCAAAAAAACCTTGAAAGTACATACAATGGGTACTTCACAACTGCTCTCTACCAAACTGACCATCATGTTCTTGGTCCTCTGAGCACACTGGACACTCAGTTACTGTCCTGCAGTCCACTAACCACAGCATCTACTAGGTATAGCATATGATCACCGAACACTCAGTTGTTATACAAGAAAACCTTCTGCACCAGAGGTCTGCAGGTCAAATCCAGCACAGCTGCCGTTTGTGTGAATTACTTTTTCTTGTAAGACAGTCATGCCTATGTCGATGGCTGTTTCCCCCTCCAAGGAAGGCTCCAAACTTGTAAGACTATCATAACACGAACAATGACATCCAATTTCATCTCCTATCTCTGCTACAGAAACGCTGCACTACAGCCATTCCATCAAGTCCTGCATGACCGTGTTTCCAGGCTTTTCCACAGGATGGACCATCTGGCAGCCGTTTAAAGAGTCTGATGACCTCCTCCTTCCCAAGAAGCCCATTTCTTCAGGAAGCCTACCCTGCCTACCACCAGAGCAGGAGGGTCGTGTCCCTGGACTCCAGTAGGCAGTAGCTTAACCCTTAAAAAGGTCCACAGCAATCACTGTTTATATTTCGGTTTCCTCTTGACCCGGGGCTCCACCATGGCACTGAGCCCCCATCACACACTAGTCTCCCAGCACTTCGCATCCAGGGCAGGTTCTCTCTGGTCTGTTGAGTGTCAGGGGACCTGGCGCCTTCTTAGGCCGCTACAGCTTTGCCTGTCTCGAGCTTCAGGGGGTCCCTGTCATTACTAAGATGTCTCTTTGAGGGGAAAATGCCGCCCACGGTACCGTGGGGCAGCAGACTCCAGGTCCACAGCACCCGAGCACCGCAGACTCCCCAGCTCTGCCCTCCAGGCAGAACTCCGGGGCCCGCCCACCCCGGAGTCAACGCACAGCAAACCGGCCCCAGCCGGCTCCCAGGCCCGCAGCGTTACCTCGACAAGACCTCCAGATCTTCCAACGCGGACAGCAGCCGATCCCGCGTGCTGCCGCCGCCTGCCAGCCCCGAAAAGCACCCCAGCCTCTCCTTCTCCCTCTCCCCACTCGAAGAAGCCGCCATGGTGCTACAGACCAGCAACCGCCGCATGCGCAGTGTGCGCTAGAGCAGGGCGAAGCGGGCCCGGAAGACGGAAAGACGGGTCACCGATGCTAGGTGCAGAGCGGCGTCGTGATAGCGCCCCCTTTGCTACTGGAGGCGCAACTACAGGCACCGGCGCCACCTGTTGGGTGCGGGAGGACTTGTGTTCCGATCCAACCGGCTACTGCAGGACCCAGCACAAGATGCGCCGCCCAGTCCCAGTTTACTGGTCCTGGGCCTTCGGTTTTCTCATCAGCAATAGGAGGATTCTGACAAACCGGCTTTAAGCATCTGAGGAAATTACATAAGTATTCATTTCTCTTTTCTTCGAATCCCCATAATATTATCCCAGCACACTGAAGAGTTTGGCTTCTAACAGAGGTTGTAGAAAGCGCCTCAGCACAGGAACCAAAATCCTTTCTCCCTACCCTGCTCTATTTGGCGGGGGGTGGGGGGTGGTAGCGATATACATATGCATATAAAATGTACTGTCTCATCGGGCTGATGGTGCATGCCTCTGTGTTTAGGAGGCAGAGGCAGGTGGATTTCTGTGAGTTCAAGGCCAGCCAGGGCTACATAGTAAGACCCTGTCTCAAAAGAACGAAAAAAGGACTGTCTTAACCATTCTAAGTATAGGGTTCTGCTGCATTAAATTGGTGTTAAACAACCATCCATCTCCAAAATTCTTTCATCTTGTAAAATGGAAATTTTATCCTCCTGAAACACCAATTCCCCATTCCTAGACACTACCACTGTACTTCATTTCTATTGCACTATTCTTGGTATGTTGTATGCGTGGAATCACATAGACTTTTCTTTGGTTTTCGTGTTTTGAGACACGATGGCGCTATGTAGCCCAAGCAAGCCTGGAACTCACCCTTCTCTTGCCTCAGCCTCCTGAGTGTGTCACTCCACCAAGCTGTGTCTGGCTTATCACAAAAGTCCTCCAGGTTCATCCACACTGAAACAGGTGCCAGAATGCCCTTTCTTTAAGCCTGGGAACTAGACTCCATTGTGTATATACCATATTTTGTTTATCTATTCGTCTGCTGGGCACTTGGATTAACTTTCTTGTTTTTTAGTATTTATCTTTAGGCCTATATGTCTTCCAACACAATGTTTTCCTCATTGCCCAAGATGATTGTTAAACTGAATCAATATAGTATGTAAATGGTAGTTCAAGAAAATAGTGTAAATAATTGATACAGTACCTTTTCCAAATCAGAACTGGGTGTTAGAAATGAAAATGTGGCTCATCCCACTTTTTCTGGGGAAAGCAATGCTATTGGGAGTGGGTGTTTTGTACTGAATCAGGTTGCAGTTAGGAAAATAAGGTGACAGTGCCACTTACAGACAGCCACTGGGAGTGGGACAGCAGCACCTGTGGTCCCTTCATTTCAGGTTTTGTCTTGTCAACTATCGTTTGGAGCCCGACTCCTTCTGGGCACCCAGAACTGACAATTCCCTAAGGGAGTCCTGTTTTATAAATTCACTCATAGCAACAGCTGTATAATTCAGAATATCAATTTATTCACTTACAATAAAAAATCATAGTGCTGAGCATATTTTTCCATTAACAAACCTACATGGAAAGCCAGTTATTACTATATTGTTTGGTGAACTTGAATTAGAACAATGAAATAGGCTTAAAAATTAATGATATAAGTTGGGCATGGTGGTGCACGCCTTTAATCCCAGCCCTTGGGAGGCAGAGACAGGTGGATCTCTGTGAGCTCAAAGCCCTGGTCTGCATAGTGAGTTCCAGGTCAGCTGGCGCTACAGGGAGACCCTGTCTCAAAAAGACAAAAAAAAAAAATAGATGCAATCATGAAGTGGTGTGTCTCCACAGTATAGGGTTATCTGTGTTAGAGACTGGAGTGTTTGTGTTCATATGTCAGAGTGCCTTCTCTACACAGTGAAAGACATTCACAGGCACCTTTTTTTTCCCTCACCATCCCCATTTCTGTGATCCTTTTGTTTGAACACATCAACTGCCAAGCATTGGAATAAATTATATTTAAGATTTCTTAATTACAGTTTAATTCTGACCATGCCTCCCAAGACCTTAGTCAATGATTTAAGTTCCCAAGATGCCAAATTCTTATCGAATGTTTTGGTTTTATTCACTCAGCTTTACTATTTACTGCTATATTTTTAATAATCTGCACATATTCTCTATTGAATTTTTTAAATAAATTTATTGCTTTCCTAGTAAGATAACTAAGGATTTTACCCTTATCTACGTCCCACTTTTCTTCCATTGTGTTAGTAGTCAGTTCTATGTTTTTATTCTACTTTTTTTTTATTTTTATTTTTATGTGTGTGTTTTGCTTGCAGGTATGTAAGTGCACCCACATGTGCAATGACTGCAGAGGCCCTAAGAGTGCACTGAATCACCTGGAAGTGGAGTTACAGACAGTTGTTAGCAGTCACATGGGTTCTGGGAACTGAGCTTGGGTCTAAGCGCAGCCAGTGCTCTTAACCACTGACCCATCTCTCCAGCCCCATGGACCCAATTTATTTTTAGTTTATTTTGTGTATGAGTGTTTTGCCTGCATTTATGTAAGTGCACCTATGTCTACAATGCCCATGGATGTCAGAAGAGAGTGTTGGATCCCCTAGAACTGGAGTTACAGGTGGTTGTTAGCTGCCATGTGGGTGCTGTGAACCAAATCTGGGTCTTCTGTGAGCAGCTACTATTAACTGTTGAACGATCTCTTCGGCCTCCTTCCCTTCAATTTTTTATTAAATTATCTTGGGCCAAATTCTGATGGCGAATGGGAGAAGATCATATTAACATAGTTCCCATGTAAAAATTCTAGGATAATGAGTTAAAATGATCAAGTGAGTTAAAAATGATCAAGTACAGAGGCTGGAGAGATGGCTCAGTTAATAAGAGCACTGGCTGCTCTTGCAGAGGACCTGGGTTCAGTTCCTAGCACCCATAAGGCAACTAACAATCATTCTTAACTCCAGTTCCAGGATGCCCTATTCTGGCCTCCAGGCATGAACATGGTGCACTTATATACATTCAGACAAAACACTCATACACATATATACATATATGTATAAATAATTTTTAAATAATCAAGTACAAGTGCAGACACTGAAGATCAGTGTACAAAACAGTGTATAATGTGAACCCTAGATATCATCAGATTTGTTGCAAATTAATATGTACATCATCCAGTTTCTATAGTAATTCCATCTCCAACGGATATGCTTTCATGTAAATTGTACAGATTGTAGTATGATGAACAAAATATGGATTATAAAGGAGCATTACTAAATTCATGATAATTTCAGCATTAAGCATTTTCTTAATCTGTAGATTCAAAGAGAATGCTACCTTTTATGAAATTTTATTCATTTAAAATGACACATACACACTTTTAAGCATTTTGAAAATAATTACTCACTAAACTTTTATGACACTCATGTGAACTAAGTGTTCTTATTATCTGTATGTTACAGATAATGAAATTGGGTCATAGAGTGGCAATGCTGAGATCTGACTAGAGACGCTGGCTGCAGGGTCTGTGCTCTTTCCCCCTGGTTATCCCCCTTCTCTTTTTGTTTTGTTTTGTTTTGTTCTTTTGTTTTGTTTTGTTTTGTGAGACAGGGTTTCCTGTAGTCCAGGCTGACCTTGAACACACTATGGAGCTAAGGATGACCAGTTGCCTCCACCTCCAAAATGCAAAGGTGGAATTGGTGCACCATTGCTCCCAGCTCTATCTTTGTTTGTTTAAATCAATCATGTTAACATACTGCATTATTATTTACACACAACTATGTAAGTATTATTTTCATTAAATGTACAACAGCAAGCTCTGTAGGGGGTTTTAAAGAAAACAGAACAGTAATCTTTAAAAACATCAGAATACATGTTACTGTTCTATGAAAACTTTTTCAGTTATAAATTCATGAATGTTTTGTTATGGACATAAAGTGTGACGAGTTTGAAGATAGGGCCTTGAAGGGACTCAAAGGACCTCAAGTCCGTAAGGGCTTGTTTATGTTTCAACAACATGGTACTACTATGGATATCCAGTATGGGCCAAGATTGCTAAGGCTAGACATCCAGAGAGCTGTCGGCACAAAATGACTGACACCGGATGCCTGGGAAACCCCAAAAGTAAACAGTGATATAATCTGTTCTATAACCAGTTTTGGCAAGAAGCCTCTTTCGTGTGATTTCCTATAAAAAGTACTTGGGACCAAGGTGTCCCCCATCGTGTCATTGTCCCCCCCCCATCCCCCTCCGCAGCTGCCTGCCCAGCAGCCTGTGTGTCTTCCCTGGGAGAAAATAAGGCATATTTTATTTGTCAATGTCTCCATGAATCTCGAATGTCCCAGCTTCTAGAGGACCACTATCCCTGGCCCCTAAACTTGGACTCCACTGGCCTTCAAGTACATGGGGCCTTGATCCTATCTGACTGGTATCTTAAGGAGAGAAGATACGGCAGAGATGTGTGCGCACAGAGAAAAGACCCTGTGAGAACATAGTGAGACGGCCATCCAGAAGCCAAAGAGAGAAACAAAGACCAAGACTGCCTGCTGCCTGCTCCTTGATCTCAGCCTCTGACCTCCAGACTGTGAGACAGAAAATATCTATTAATTATCACTGCAGGCGGTGGGGAGTCAGAATCTGGCGATTTCAGGTTGCCTTTGCCTTCCATAAGCATTTGACCTCCTACCTGCCCCCATTTTTGAGGTACTTGGTAGTGAACCCAGAACCTTCCAAATGTTGGGCAGTTGCTATCACTGAGCTACATTCCCAGGTCCTTCCCCCCATTTGATATGTGTTACTCTCCTATCAGGACCTCACATTGGGCTAAATGCAGCTTTGCCTACTAAGTGTCTAAACCAACACGCCTGAATAGAGCTGGAGAAAAACCTACAAGCCACTTGGTCACACTTAAAATTCCTGACTCCAAATTCTGACTACCCAGTGGCCCTAAATGAGACTGCATAATCAGACTGTGAGTCACTGTTCTAATTCCTCTCCTCTCCACTGTTCTT